TTATGGAATTGGCTCCATCTGGATCTCTGTGGTTTATAAAACAACAGACTTTAATCACAACTGCAAGTGATTAAATTTTCACCACTGACCACTGGTGGCTTCCAGCAGAATTCAGCTGGAGAAGGTGAAATGCACAGAAACGCAGTGTATCAAATTTTAAGAGATAGATGTGAAAAAGTCCCTGTGCTTCTTGAGAAATTTGGAGGGATTTAGGCATGAAAATCATAAAATCTGATCTTGGGAAACTGGTTCATCTGCCACCTAGCCCTGCGAGGTACACACTCTCACCATTTTATTCTGATGTTCCTCAGGCACTTGGAGATGTGCTGCTGAGGATGGCTCATCTGGGTGAGGAGGGGGGAGTTCAGCATACAATGCACTCCTGCCTGGCCAGGTTACTCCTTCACCTACCAGTCCTTGGGGCGGCTTCCTAAGAGCCCATTTTTACTTACACCGACAGGATGAAGTTACTTGCAAAAGACAACAGTCACTGTGTTTAACACAGAGCTGAAAGTGCCAGTGCCGTTTGTTTGCAGGACCCACCAGCAAGTGAAGCAAGTAGTCGCAGCCACAGGAGAGGAGGTCCCTTGTATGCTCCCCTTGGCAGGGTAAGACAGGGACAAAGACTTCTTTTTACCCACTGAGCACCAGACTGGAAGCTGTTTTGCACAGGGTCTCCTCCAAGTCTCGCCTTTGTGAAGCTGTGAAGAAAACTGGCTGCAGTTGCTTAAGGCAGGAAGAAACCCTGGGTTCTCATCTCTACTACAAACCCTGCTTGTCTGTTTTCTCCATAGGCTGTTCATAGAAGCAGAAATCTCTCCTGGGTAACTGGAAGATTGTGGCTGTGCCATATGACCCAGCGATACATATTTACACTAACCAGTTCTATCAGGGCTCCTGCCAGGAATGCTGTATCTGGCTTATCCCAAAAGGTTTAGGAAGGGCTGCCCCAGAGCAGCTGGGCATGCCCCCTTGCCACCCTGGGAAGGAGTTGGATTTAAGACTTCGTCGAACTACAGCCTTAGTAATCTGTCGTTGTTTAGGCCCAGCTGGCAATTAAACACCGTGTGGCTGCTCATTCATTCCTTTTCCCCAATGGGATGGGGAGGAGAAAATACAACAAAAGGCTCATAGGTCGAAATAAGGATAGGGAGAGATCACTCACCAATTACCATCATGGGCAAAACAGACTCGACTTGGGGAAAATTTATTTATTACCAATCAAATCAGAGTAGGATAATAAAAAATCAAATCTTAAAAACACCTTCCCCCCCAACCCTCCCTTCTTTCCAGGTTTACCGTCACTCCTGATTTTCTCTATCCTCCTCCCCTCCAGCAGCTCAGGGGGGCAGGGGATGGGTATTGCGGTCAGTTCATCACACGCTGTCTCTGCCACTTCTTCCTCCTCAGGAGGAGGACTCCTCACACACATGCCCTGCTCCAGCATGGAGTCCCTCCCATGGGAGACAGTCCTCCATGAACTTTTCCAACTTGAGTCCTTCCCATGGGCTGCAGTTCTTCATGAACTGCTCCAGCATGGAGTCCCTCCCATGGGGCTCAGTCCTTCAGGCACAGGCTGCCCCAGTGTGGGTCCCCCACGGGGTCACAAGTCCTGAGACGGCAAATCTGCTCCAGTGTGGGCTCCTCTCTTCGCAGGTGTGCAGGTCCTGCCAGGGGCCTGCTCCAGCGTGGGCTTCCCATGGGGGTCACAGCCTCCTTCAGGGGCATCCACCTGCTCTGGCGTGGGGTCCTCCCTGGGCTGCAGGTGGATCTCTGCTCCACCATGGACCTCCATGGGTGCAGGGGCACAGCCTGCCCCACCATGGGCTGCACCACGGGCTGCAGGGGAGTCTCTGCTCTGGCACCTGGAGCATCTGCTCCCACTCCTTCTTCACTGACCTTGGTGCCTGCAGAGTTGTTTCTCTCACATATTCTCACTCCTCTCTCTGCTGCAGGCTACCCAGCAGGTTTTTTTCCCTTCTTAAATATGTTCTCACAGAGGTGCTACCACCATTGCCAATGGGTTCAGCCTTGGCCAGCAGCAGGTCTGTCTTGGAGCCAGCTGGCATTGGCTCTATCAGACACAGGGGAAGCTTTTAGCATCTTTTCACAGGAGCTATCCCTGTAGCCCCCCTGCTACCAAAACCTTGCCCTTGCAAACCCAATACATCATCTTTCTGCAGTGCCACATACTTCCCACCATGTAAGCACAAGGAGCTCAGCTGCTAAAACCAGGGTTTTGATTCTGCTATAGGGACCAGATGTTCTAATTGCCTCCAAAAGCCATGATATTTTTAAGCATTTAGGCTTTAATTACTTGTCCAGGACTATGGAGGATGAAATGCCCTTCTGTAGACAGCAAGTGCATGTAAGGCCTACTTAATTTGTGTGGAACTTAAAACTGTTATCGGATTTCATGTTGAATTTCACTTGCAGGGGGACAGTGGCAGAGCTAAGTAAAAAACCAGATACTCCAACTTCCCTGTTCTCCCATCTACCCAGACGAACCAGGCTATCCACACCATATTTGTTTAAGTAATTACAGAGACCCCAGACTGTTAACTGATTTAATGAATATCCATTTTTGCCATCTTTTTTTAATTAATTTTTTGAGATATTGTCCTTGATCAGGTGTGAGTGTGACAGCACACCTGTTAATCAGCCAGACATGTCAAAAAGCAGGTGCCAAAGGGATAGCAAATAAAGATAAAAGGTATCCATCAATATGTTTGCCTTCCTCCAGACCTCCAGTCATCCTTACAGTCAGAATCTCTCAAAACAGTAATAGAGGGGAGAAAAAAAAAAATCAGTATTTTAAGGTATTTTGTCCATGATATTTAAGAGATTTTTTCTCTGCTACAATATCTGTTCCTTTGTGAATGGTTTGGTTACTCTGCAAGATTGAAGAGGGTGATCTGTTCATCCCTCAAGTCACTGAGCATAATGAAGAGAATTGAAAACATGAGGCATTGGAAATGAGAGAGTAGTTTGTGTCCTTGAACTATTTTGTTACAGTGATCATCCTGCAGCAGCTTCGGAAATGACAAACTGCTCACTGAATCCCACAGAAACCATGGGACCAAAATCTCTTAAGCTATCCAGGGGCTGGGAGACAAATAAAGCAGGGCCAGCTGTTGTGCATAAAGACTACCTCAGTAGAATACCAGTATTGTAAGCCCCAAACATCTGAGAGTCCAGGAGACAAGAGAGTGTTTCCCAATTCACGTATCAGTCAGCCAGCCTCCTGGCTAATAAATCCTTAACAAACGTATGCCCCAGGCATTTAGCAAATCCCTTCAAAACAGGGTTTATGAGAAGGGGCAGTCCCTGCACAATATTCTTTTGAACACAACCTGCAACAGCCGGAACTGGGAACTGACAGCACAAGTCATCGGGACACATGTAGCCTTCAAGAGCATAATCTAATGTATGAAATCTTGATAAGGGAGGTGGATCTGTTGAAGCCTGATGGGCTAAAATGACAGCACTCAGGCAATGTGACAGCTCTTTGAGCCTCTCTTGAAAGTATGCACAGCTTCTCTCAGCTGAGTACTTGGGAAAGAAAGAAGCCTCTCTTCAAAGATGACAGTAGGAAGTTTTACTCAACAATACTAAGCTGAAGTGATCCAATGGCATCATCAGTACCATCATCAGGCAGCAATAATACTGTTAACAGTACCATTATCTTTCTATGTCCTTGGCTTAATGGTGCTCAGAGCCAGATCCCAACAGAGCACAGCTTGCCCGAGGCGCAACCACACCAGAACCGAGGTGCCCAAATTCAAGAACCCGTCCCTGTGAAAATCCCCCTTGCCCACTGTAAAAGCCAGAACCTGCTGCTTTGCTGTTGTAGACACCTAGGGCATCCACATTTGTAGGACTTGACTCGGAGTGCACTGATGTCCGGCATGGGTGCTGCAGTCCTGCTGCCATTTTTCCTTATGACAGGCAGCAGCTGGGGCCAGCAGCACTGTCCAGCACTCACCATGTGCTGAGGGTGCAGAGTGGGGACATGACAGTGGCCTGTGCCACCTGAATTTCAGCCTGCAGAGGTAGCTTTGCCTATCAGTTGGGCAACAGCAATCAGTTGCTGTCCCTGTTAAGAACAGGGATGATGGGGAGAAGTCTCCTCTGCTTCTCCCATCTCCTGTGCCTGGTGGCAGTGGCAGGTCAGCTGGCTACTGGTAGGGAGAGACAGACATGGCCTTAAGCACAATATACATGTGCATGGGTAGCTACCTAAAGAGACTGAGCAGAAGCAGCTTTTTCCAATCTTGTGTTTCCTCCTGCCCCGTAAACAGCTGAAGCTGGGGTCCTGTGCAGCCAAATAAGGCTCAGGGCAAGCCAGGAAGAAAGTGAGAGAACAAGAGGGAGAAAAGAACCTGCCTATGTTCTAACCTACACACCAAGGGATGCTTATGCATTTTGCATGAGAGAGCAGATGGACAAATGGTATAAACAAGCTAGGTCTCCCCGTGGAGCTGACTAGTGTTTTCAACCACAAAGACTACACAAACAACTCCCCTGCTGAGATTTAGGTACTTTATTTGATGATGCAGAAATTAACATAGCCCCATCTTCCCCAGGCTGTATTGAATCTTCAAGGCTGATAAGCAAAATAGTCCAAGGAAGTGAGTTACACTTCAGAAGTAAAGTGAATTTTAAGGCTCCCAATATACCTTTGTTTACCTCTTATATTTAGTTTGTGTTAATCCAACTCTTGAAATTATACGCATTCTGATGGAAAACAATTGCCAAAGCTGGTAACTGGCTGTGAGCCACTGCTAGAGAGAACATAAAGGGCTGGACACGATCTTTGGTTTGAACAGATGCTACCATTCATTCATCCTGGTTAGCCCTTAAAGCATCCCTTGAATGTATCACTTAAAACTTTATGGTGTCTTGGCATCTCTCTGCCTAAAAATCAGTCAATAGCTTCTGAAAGACATCTGTATCTTCCTAGAAGTTAGGCATGTGGAATTGTCAAAAACAAAGCAACAGTAGTCATAGACAGTGTTTTATTGCTACTACTTTAATCATAGCTACTACTTTAATCAATCATATCAAATTAAAATATTTAATGTGTAATAAGTTGGCAATATAAAAACAATGTGTGTTTTTGTTACGGCAAATGCAGTACCTCAGGTATGTCCCTTTAAACAGGACTTCAGAGTCTGTGAGGTTATTTTTAGTCAACCTTAATATTTATCGGTAAATTTTTACTCAGTAGCAGACTGTTGTTTAGCATGCTGATGGCTTTGCTGTCTCTCTCTCCCTTCCTCTCCTTTTCTCATTTCAGGTTATGCTAGTTTTTCCTCAAAGTTTTAAAATTTATCAGCTCTCTCACATTTCTTGCATTTGAAAATGAGGCTGAAAAATGAGTGGAAGCCATACTATCTGCTGACTTTTGTCTGTATCTGCTGACTCTCTATTTGGCAAGAGTCAGCTTTACTTTTGAGACTTACACTGTGAAGGCTATTAGTGTCTGTTTCCCTTCCTTATAAAGAATTTATCTGTTTGCTTTGCTTAAATTAATGCATTACATTTGAACTGCAGAGAACCCATACTGTATATTTTGTCTCCCTAAGCATTAGTTGGCATTATAAAAGAAAATATAATTTATACTGCAATTAAAAAAAAAAATAAAAAAATCAGGCTCTTCATTTGAGCTTCCATTAAGCATAAGTCTGTGCAAGAACCAATGCTACCACTGCTTTCAAGTTTCAGAGTTTCTTCTAACTGTGAAGAGGAGCAAGGAATTAAAACAACTGCAGAAAACCAGGAAAACCTAACAATCATTCATGTGGCAGTACAGCATACTTCTGTGGATTCCATGGTATTTTTATACTGCACCTGCTCATCCAAGGTGGCAATATTTATAGTGAGATTTTGAGAAGTCTACTGTTAATTAAGGACTGTGTTCATAACCAAACTAGTGACTGAAAAGCACTGAGCAAGATGTTGGTGAGATGGTCTGATGGTAGATACCAATCACTGCTTCCACTTCCCTTACTGTTAATTAGCTTAACAAGCAAAGATATGGCACTGCACTCCGAGAGCTCTGAGAGGAAAAGGAGAACAAGGGACTTCAAAGTACAAAAAAAGCCAAACCTTAAAAAAGTTTTGAGAAAAAGGGAAGTCTTGATTATTTAAAAAACCTCACCTTATAATGCAAACTGTAAATTCATTTTCATTGTAAGTTGCTTGCACTCTGTGTAGTCCACCTAAAACCTACTCACCATCTAATTAATACTTGAAAGAGTTTTTAAAGAGTTCATGAGCCCTGGGCTGCTCCTTTACTGAGAAATGCATTTTTCCCCAAGTATTTGTTTTCTTTAGGCTAAGATAATTTCTGTAATTAGAAGGAAAAAAATATTAGTGATCTCAAAAAGATTCCACAAAAAGAAGTACATTCTAGTCTTTACAAGCATTTTAGTTTGGTCTCCCTACTTTTGCTTAGATGAAGATGGCAAATTGGGGGAATGAAGAACTGTGATTCTTCTGGTCATGTGCAACATGCCATGGCTACTGTAAAAGCGCTAGATCTGATTACTATTAATATATATTATTATATTTGCCCTCTCAGGAAGGAAGACAAATTTTGAAAAAGAAACTCTCACTCTACTAAAAGAGTCAGATCATATTAATTTCTTAGCTGTTAAATAAATAAATATCTGAGTTTCTAAAGAAAGGACTAAAAAACTGACAGCACTCTGAAGTGGCAATGTAACAGAGCCTTAAATGAAAGGTGGTAGAGAAACAGGGACAGTCAAAAAGAGAGTAAATGTGAGAAGTTTCTAAACCCCAAAAGATATAACAAATTTGTTCCCAATACCTCATTCCATATTTTCACAGTAATATTATTCTAACAGATGGTTCTTTAAGCTGTAATTGCATTTCTTTGCAAGACAATTTGAAACACAGCAACACAGCACTGTGTAGAGCATATAATCAAAATTTGGTCTCCTTTGAAAATATTCAATTTTGTGGCATGTTATTAATCATTATGGAATAGAGATACGCTATTATTAACATTTGTACTTTTCACTGAAAATCATGTAGTATTTAATGTTTCATCTATAAAAAGCTGTGGCTTGGATAAAAGTGATTACATGACACACTCATTTTTAAATAAAAGTGCAAGCACTCACTTGTTGGGTAATGCTAAGTGTTCAAATACAATGAAAGATTAATAACAACATATTTCTAATGTTTTCTTGCACTAGCAAGTAAGTTCTAAGATTGGTTGTTCTTCAAGATTGTATGGAGCTACTGTATGTAGCAAAATCAAAGAATAGGTAAGGTTACAAATACAGATTTCCTGGGGTCCTTTATGCAGAAGTGCTTATGCAGAAAGCTTGGCAAACGTTATTTCATTTATTAAGAAGTTATGCAAAAGTTGTCATCTTTGGTCCACTGTGATCTCTAAGTGAGGAAAGGTTTAATGCCTCAGAGGATGTGGCCTCTGTTTAGCACTTCTGGAGAGCAAATTTATGCAAGGCAGGGGGTATTATGTCTGGGAAAGGACCTCCAGACAGGTCTATAAGTTCTTTTTGTCTACAATATTTTCTTCTCAAGCAACTGTCATCACATCTTAGAGAGACAAGCATCTTTTCAAAACAAAGAATGACTTAATGTCCCTTACTCACTGGCAAAAATCAGAAGTAGCTGAAGTGGCAGACTTAGCTGCAAGTGAAACTAAGAAGTCACAGTTCTCTTCCGAACACTGATTCAGACTATAAGCAAGCCAAAAGTCCAGGGAAAGCTCTAAATCAGATTCTGATCTCACCAATATCAGAGCCCCCATTCAATATTTCAGCCTGTGCAACTGAGATTACAATGTGGACCATCCTCCTTTAATGGCAAAAGCAGCATTATTTTCCATCAGGAATCTTCACAGCATGCCTGTGATATGGACAGGGCTTTGTAATACTGCCAAGTCAAGACTGCTTTCCAAGGTATATTGTTGAAGGGATTGGGTTTTTTTTGCAGATATAAAAATTTTTTTCAAACTCTTATAGCTTCACTTGTGATCTTGGACCTGTGAAGGATAATAGGTTGGGAGAGTATCACTGCAGACAGACAACTCCTCAGTTCCAAGCTTCAAGTCAGCCTGCACTGGCTCGTTTTCACCTTTCAGCGCCGTGCAGTTTCTCAGCTGCAGTTCTTTGGTGAAGCAGAATTCAATCTGACCAATTGTTTGTGCTTTTTCACCCTAGAAATGTACAGGATGAGATCAGCTTAATGATGAGAATAAATAAATTTTTCAGATATATTGCCTTACCTTTAGAATACAGTAGTGCTTATTTGTACATCTGCTACTTGAAAAATGTGAAGGAGACACCAAAGGCTTATAGTACATATTTGTCCTTAAGGAGCAAGCAGACATGGAAACATATTCCTATCACATAATTCAGCAACAGTTTTTGGAAACTGCCTAACTAGTAAGTCTCATTATGAAATGCTGTGGCACCGATTATCTTAGCATTTACCAAAACTGCGCAGTACACAGAAGCTGTTCACCTTAATCATGAGCTCTGGCTGAACTCTGTTAATATTGAAGGGGGTGTGTGACCTGAAAGCCACCTTTCATCAACTCTTTTGTAGCAAGATGGGAACTGAGGCAAAGAAAATTCTCCAAAAGGGAGAAAAGAAACTTGGTTTTATAATAGCTTTTACTGTAAAGAATACAGAAGCAAGTTGTCAAAAGTAGCAGAAATGTAATTTTTTGGACTACAGGACAGACTAGGAAGAAAAATATTGGCCATTAATGAGGCAGACAGGCACAAAAGCCTTCCATGTGGGAACGAAGATTATACAAACATCCCCCAGAATGCTCAGGTATGACAAAGTGCATGTGGAAAAAAAATTGGTTTTGAAACCACTAAACAGGAAAAATATATATGTACAAGACAAAAGTAACCGTGGTGAATTTTTGTTGTTGTTTTGGTTTGGGTTTTTTTGGTTGGGATTTTTTTTGGTTTGGTTTTGGGTTTTTTGTTGGTGGAGTTTTTTTGAAGGGGTTTTGTGGTTTGTTTTGTTGTTTGGTTTTTTTTTTAAAAAAAGAAACCTAAGAACACAGCAAGTGTGTAATACGTTTTAAGCATCAAAGTAGCCCCATAATGCACTTCAGGCATTGACACGTCTGGAACTCTGAAAAGGGCTATCTTTAAGTAACTGGGGTGTACTTTTTCCTTTCTATTACCCATTAGCTTCAGCTGTTTATCACAGAAGACTCAAACTGTAAATTACCTTCACATAATTTAAACAGTGTCCCAATTGTACTAAAAGCAATGGCAAAACTACAGTGAACAGAGCTGGAAACTGGGATTTTTGTTAGCTCTGTATTTCTTCAACATCAAGTAGTGGGTGAGTGTGCAACCCACATTCAACTCATATTCCTCTGTTGCTTAAAGTAACATAAAAATACATTTTAAAAACAAGTGTAACCTAGAATTCTTTTTCACACGAAGAAACATCTGAGTATAAAAACCTCAGAGCACTACTAAAGCAAATGAGCTGACAACAGAGAAGTTATTAAACTCCAACAGCACATGTATGTTGGCAAGATTTCATAGAATTGTCATCTGTATGGGCAATAATTCTGTCAAGTGTTTTGTAGTAAGCCATTTTTATCAAGCTGAGATAATAAAGAACTACACGTAAGAGGGAAAGCTATCTTGTGGGTTTGGTTTTCTGTTTTCTTTTTGAATTAAAGGTGGAGTAACCTAGCTGAAAAGTTAAAAAACAGCTATGCAGCCTAAACATGTAACTGTTAATAATACTATTTTGTTCCTTCAAAGGCATTTTTGGTTCAGATATGGTGACCTGATTTTATACTCTAACACGCTGTCTCTGCATACAACATTCTCTACTGCACTGTGATGCTCAGTAAACATTGTCAAGGAAAAGTAGAAAGAAATGGACATTTTAGCCACCATGGCTCAGAAGGAAAGACTACGGTCATCCTGAACCACAGTGAAGGTCAAAAGGCCTTTTTATACCTTTTTAGGTAGGGGGTTTTGAGAACAACTTCAGAGACAAGCCTCTGAGCTGCTTTATTTCTGAAGGATTCTGTCCACTAACTTCTTCATGCAGGACACATGATCCATGCCCAGTGAAGGGAAGACTGCTGTTAACAGGCAATACCCTCATCAAGGCCAGCAGTCACTGGTTCCATTCACCTCACTCTTGTTGGTTCTAGTAACTCACCCTATGGCAATTAAGCTTAAGCAGAAGTGGAAAGTACTGAGCTACAGCAATACCAGCACGGTGGTTACAGCATAAGATGCAGGTTCAAATCTTTTAAGACAAAGACCTTTAAAACCCAGTGCTCCCACTTTCTGGGTAAGTATGCTAACAGCAAAGTTCTTAGGTAAAGAATGGACATTTCCCCCACTAACAATATTTCTGCATTAAGAAAAGGCTGTGGCAACAGTAACATAAGCTGAACTCAGTAGTGCCTGTAAGTAAGCAATGTTTTTATGAACTCAACTCCAAGAATCAAGCAATAGCTAGTCTGCAAAGAGCTGTACAAGCAAGGAACACCCAGATCTAAGTGTTGCCATGCTGAGGATTTTTCACTCTATTTTTTCTTTTCTTTTTTGATAAAAAGTGCTCTTTTTTTAAAAAAAAAAAAAAGTTGTTGGTTTTTGGTTTGTTTTTGGTTTTGGGGGATTTGGGGAGTATGTGTTTGGGATTTTTACCTCTTCTGGAGGAAGACATTGGATCTTTGGCATTACACCGTAAAATCTTGTAAGAGCTTCCTTTATGGCAGTCATCTGAAAAATTAAAAAGCTTATATAAATTAATAAGTCACTAGCACATCTTCCAACAGCTCCCACACAGTTCACAAAAACTTTTAGATAAAACACAACCTTAAAGAATTATACAATTAAAAAAAGATCACTTATTCTCTAGAAATTACTTGCCTCCTGACAAAAAAAAAGTACCTGCACATGATTTTGTTTTATAAAAGATTGCCTCTTACCTGGTAATATGAACTGCTCGGCTTTATCCCAGCTTTCAGAAGACAACTGAAAGATAAAACATTTTTCCATGGTTCCTGTATGCAAACATAACTTCATAATCATTAGGCAAATAGATAATTTTAGTGAGAACTTGACAAGCATTACAGCAATGGGGAGTAAGGGAAACTTGCCTTCCTTCCACCCTCTACAAGGCCTAGGAAAGCTTCTCTTTTTCTGAAAGGTCACTTCCCATCTAACTCAGCAGGGTGAGGAAGAACCCTCTCCCCCATCTTAAGCTGAGAAGGTGGGAGAGTTGAGTCTTCACACACAGCTGGGAAATTTGTGGGACCTTCAGAATGCTCCACTGAGCACCAATTAGGACATGCAGTTTAATTGCCGCCTTCTCCCTGCCTTGAACCATACCCCTGGTGCTCCGGCCACCTGAAGGGGGCAGAAGCAGACTTGTGAGGCTGCTCTAGGCACCCTCATGTTCCAATACAGGGTGGGCTTGCTGGGCTGGGAGCCGCACAGCTCACTGGGAGAGGGACACGGTGCATGGATCTGGATCAACATCAACGTCAGGGAAAGCAACATTTCCTAACAAGTATGTTTTTGAAGATGAAAGGTCATTATCATAAGAGAAACAAAGTAACTCTCAAGAACCTCTAGCCTATATACCCCTTCCTTTAGATTTGGCCCTGAGGGAAGCCCACACTTCTAAAGCTGACAACAAGATTCAGGACTCAATAGGTGCTAAGTCTCTAAGTTCCAGCTTCTTCTGTAAGGAATGGGAATGTTCAGCATCTTGCAGGATTTAATCCACAAGTGCTGATGATGCTCAACCCTTCCAAGGCTCAGGGGAGATTTAACCCAGCTGACTACAGATCTATCTGTTTGTCAACAGTCATTTGACTCTGGATAAGGAGCCTGCATAATGTTGTCTTATTAATAATTTCCTTTTTGGAAACAATCTTTTAATCACTAACACTACTTTTTCCCATCAAGTATAAATGAAATGAAATGAGAACATTAGCAGTCTTCATTCTTTTCAGTAACAATTTAATTATGTTCATTTTTTACAATTGAGAATATGCTCTGAGCAATTCATTTCAACATGTTTCAGTCTATTCTTTTTCAGTGTTACACATGCTGATACAGAGTCACATAATTGGTCACTGTGCCATCTGTTAAATGTTTTAGTCACACCATCACAGCTACTCAGGCAAATGACTTCTCAGACATTATTAATGTTAACACTACATATGACATGCTCTTAAGCACTGTGTCTAGGAAAATCTCAGTTTTACAAGACACCTACAAAAATTGGGGGGGGAACCT